TCCCCAACCAACAAATTGTCTGGCCGAAGAGGGGTTCCACTCCAATGCATAAGAAGGGGAACAGATTTACAACCACTTCTTTGTGCAGATTTAGATCTGCATAGTGGCCATGCACTACTGGATCTTTCATTTACTCTATGAATTATAGTTTTCCCCTGACCTTGTGGGAACACATTCAGTATTTGCAGAAGTGGATGTTCAAAAGGCAGATTTTAAAATAAGGAAATTTCCTAACACATGAATGAAATGTATTTGGTTGGGGGAAAAAAGCTGGTTTTGGCTTCAGTTATGGTTGCCTCCTGCATGGCACCTGCCAACCAGCCCTTTTAATGTGGTTTCATTGCCATGTGGTTCCAAAGCTTAAGAATGAAATGCATGATTTAAAAATGTGTGTGTGTTAATCACAAAAGTCTAAAGTGTATTCCAGTATTCATATCTGTACCGAAATAGAATTTGCCCACTGGTTTATTTTCCTTTCAAGGTTTTTGTCAAATACCTTTAGCAAACTTTCATTTATTGGAGGGAAACTTCTGCAATAAGAAACATAAACAATCAATTTGTGCTTTATGTTTATATCATTGTATTTGGCCCCTGCATTTTTAATGAAAATTAATCTTGTTCTCCACCTATGCTTCGCAGTCACTTACATTAAATGGTACATCAAGCTCTTCAGGTGTATTGATAGGAGCCAAAAGTTGCTCCTCCTCCTCCTCCTCCTCCTCCTCCTCCTCCTCCTACTCCTCTCTTTTTCCTTTCTGACAACTAGAGAAGAAAAGTACCAATTAACACATTGTAAACAGCATGTTTGGAACTGGGTGATAATATTGATCCTTTCTTTACTATTTTACAACTGAATTTCCTGGGAAGACTCCCAAGAAGCTAAAAACCTCCAAATGTGAATGGAAGTGGCATTTTAATTTCTATGGGGGACAGAAATACACAATATTGAAGTGGAAGTAATATAAAATTACAGTTTTGAAATTTGAGAACTGTAAGATTTCTTAAGATTTGAGGTGAAATATAAGAAATCAATCCTTTAAGAGTGGAAAATAGATTTTGAGTGACATCTAGTGATGGATCTGAGTACAGCACTATAACTAGCTTCCTGCCTGCTTGGTGATACCTAGCCTAAGGGAGAACAGCTGGCAATAAAGGAAAATATTTTGGCATACTTATCACCTTGACCTTGTTGGATTATAAACACCCATTGAGCTTGGACTTTTAATCGTAAGAGCTAGAGGGAGAGAAAGAAAAAACTTGACCTTTGATTATGTCTGGCTGGGAGAGATTTTTGAGCTGTTTTCGGGGAGGGTGAACACTTTGAACATTGTGGATTATAATCTTGCCTGAGTGACAATTTTTGGATGCCTGAGACAAAAGATCATTATAAAATATTACTTTGGGGACTGGACCTGTACTCTAAAATCTATTGAATTATAAAGGCTGCATATAAAAACCAGAAAGCTAGAGGAAGCTTTGTTCTATTCTTACTGAGGCTAGTGATATTAGAGGATCTCCAAGAATGATATCTCAAAAAAACAAAAAAACAAATACCTTTCAGAAGGAAATATACTCTATGCTACAACTAATTCACCAAACAATTGTTGCATACAAAGAGGACATAAAAAGAAACCACAATGAGACTAAAAATAATTTAGATAATATAAATGAGCAAATCTCCAAATTAAATCTACAACTAGAAAGTTCCCAGGCGACGACTACAAAGTATAAACAAAGAAACCAGAGATTGGAAGATGAAGCAGAGGAAATGGGCCTACAGATGAAAAAGATGAAAGAAGAGAAATATAAACTACTATACACAAATAAAATAGTGCAAGACTTATACATAACAATGAAATTGCAAAAGACCCTTTACCCTTTAAGCTTGCAAGATGCACCTGATGACAGTGAAGAAGATTTTGGGGAATGGAACATAGAGTTGTCAGGGGAAATGTTACAATTTGGGAGACAAAAGATGAGGGGGGAAATTGAGGGAGAACAAAGGTGGGAGTTGCTTAAGGAACATAAACGGGCAGAATTCCCCCTCAAAAATACCCTACTTAAATTGTCTTCCTCATGCCAAGCAACTTCCATAAAAATAGAAAGAAAATTCCTAGGCAATTTAATTGCCTTGGTAAGAAAGAAAGAAAGAAAGAAAGAAAGAAAGAAAGAAAGAAAGAAAGAAAGAAAGAAAGAAAGAAAGAAAGAAAGAAAGTTAGATTTTAAAAATAGAAGATTTGACCTATTAAAGGGAGAATTATATGTTTAAGTACTAGTTTAATATGGTTAAAAGAACGGATGACCCTTAGATATAATTAGACTTTTATAATGAAAGATATAATTTAGAATTAAAATAGTATTTTTTTTCTCTTCTTTTGATATGGGAAATATGAAAATAAGAGGAGGATTGGTATGAATAAAATTTTAGCTGTATAAATGTAATTAATATTGAGAAAATCATAACTGACAAAGATACCTTAATTATTGAGAACAAAAAACAGGATATTAATTTATAAATTGATATTATTGTTATTTTTTATAATATTAGTGAAATATGATGAAGATATTTATATGTAACTCTGTATACATCAATAGTATCAAGAATTCTAATTGTGTAATGAGGGGAAAATAGAAAAAAATATGGGGAAGAAAGGAGGATCAGGGAAAAAATACTGGATTGTGCAGTACTGAATAGACTTATATTGAAGACGTTAATGCTAAATATGTGAACCCAGACATGTTGTTTACTAAGCTCTAAAGATTGTAATTCTTAAAAACTAATATTTTTTTAAAAAAAATAAAAGTACATTTTAAAAGGCTTTGTATAGATTTGTGCCAAAAATATATTTCTGGAAGTTTTATATTTCAAATATGATTATCAGAGGAAGTTACAGAGAGTGGTCAGTTCCAGTTAGATGCACATGTCTTTTTTCTTTAAAAAAAGAAAATTCTGATAGATCAGAATCTTTCACATGTATAGATATGAATTTATACTGATTTGCATTTTCTCTCCTTTGTATTCACCTGTAACACTCAAGAACAACACTGAAATCCTATTCATATCAAACAGGACACATCAATGGTTCTTTCCCTCAATTTGTTCAACATTACGATTGTGCCAATAATAAGAAACCAGGGTCATCACGGCTGGTAGTTCTTCAGGCCTATAGTACTTGTCCCAACTTCAGCAAAGAAGACTGTAAGAATGTCACTTCTGTCACCTCTTCCTACCTCATAGATGTTTTTCTCTCCAGTGCGCTAAGAGATGTCCTGTTTTTGCAGGACAAACTTAAAACTTTGTCTTGATCAGAGAAGTTAGAAGGGGTTGCCAGGTAAGTAATTTTGATGACATTGGGTCAAGTCCAAAGAGAAATTACTTTAGCTCTTAAGAAAACTGTGACCCCCAAAATAGGTTGTGTGAATAGTTCCTTAGTTTTAGGCTGGTTGAGATAGGCATGCCATTGTCTAAATAATTCCTTCATATTTAGTACTCAAAATGCCAAGAATTCAGTATCTAAGGAGTAGAGTTACTCTACTTTCAGTGCTTAAATGAGTCTTTGAAATATAAATGAAACAGCTTTTATAGTAGTTTCTTTAAAACATATTTAGCATTTAAAGCTATGGATATTTGATTTTGCACTCTATGAGGAATCCCATGCTATTTTAATGTATTTTCTAAGGAAACTGTCAGAGTTAGAGTTAGATGATGCTGGGGGGAGGAATGTGCATGAGAGTTTAGCTAGACATAACAATACTGGACCTAGTGTGTGAACCAAGGTTATTGAAATAAGAGATGATAAGAATTGGCGGACTGGAGAACTGGACAGAAAGCCTGCATTTCAAACTAATTGGAGTATATGATTTATGACTGTTAATTGGAGGAGGGAATTGTGCTTTGATACTATGTGCTCAGGGGAGGAAAATTCAGTTTTTGGCTTCAGTTATGTTAGTGCCAATGCTATGCTTCTCTAATAAAGATTCTTTAAGATAAACAATGCCTCAAAGTTCTTTGAAGAGTTTCATCTTTTGGAACCATGACAGAAACACTTTGCAATTCAAATCCAAGGCTCTTTGCAATGTACATTTACCTGCCCCAATAGAAGCAAAGCTAAGTACTGTAGCGTTATCAGAATTGTTTTTTTTTTAAAAAAAAAGTGCAAAGGTAAATATAATTATAATACTAAACCATACATCTTCGTCATAGCGATCCATTAAAGCAAGAAGTGATGCAATAACTGCTTGTATTGTTGAGACAGTGTTTTTGGTATTCATATGAAGAACATAAATCTAATCCGCTTAATCCAGTTTTCCCTTTACTTTGATCATTAAGGATTAAAATCTTTAGAACAGTTTAGGTTTTTAAGGTCAATGATTTTATCTAGTTAGGCAATTATTTTAGCTTTTGTTTAGTCCCTAAGGGCACCCTTTGTTTATATTTGCAATCTTTTATTGTTTGCATTGTGGATTTGTTTTCATTAATAATATTTATTATGTGAGTTATGTCAAGCTTGGACATATTATTATATCACAGCGATACCACAGTATTTTTTATATAAGAGGCATTTTATACCAATTGGGGGCTCTAGCTTCCTGAATTTATTCAATTCTTAATTCTCATTAGTGCATCTTAAGATTCTAGACCTAAGAGTCTAGAATAGTTTAATTGTGTTTTATATGACGTATTACTTTCTTTAATTGGCCTAAATATTATTATCATAATAATTATTGGATTAAATGTACCATAATCTGGATTCTAGTATTACTGGATTTAGAAAAAGCTTTTCCATTTTTAAATTTCTACACACTTATGCATATTATACATCCCTCTCATGTTTCCCTCTATTCTCCTTTTATTCCAAGTTAAGTTGAAAAATAACCACACGTTCCTCCTTTCCCATCACCATTTAGGTTGCCCTTTTTTATTCTTACTACTCTTGTTATTGCTGTTATTGGATTATTTCCTCATCCATATGCTTATTTTTTTTTCTTTCTTTGTGTAGAATTTTTCCGAGAGCTCCTGGAGAATGCAGAAAGATCCTTAAATGATATGTTTGTGCGAACATATGGTATGCTGTACATGCAGAATTCAGAAGTATTCCAGGATCTCTTTATAGAACTAAAACGCTATTACACGGGAGGCAATGTGAACTTGGAGGAGATGTTGAATGACTTCTGGGCCCGTCTCTTAGAGCGAATGTTCCAGCTCATAAACCCCCACTATCATTTCTCTGAGGACTATCTAGAGTGCGTAAGCAAATACACGGACCAGCTTAAGCCTTTCGGAGACGTACCCAGGAAACTCAAGGTTCAGGTGACGAGAGCTTTCATCGCAGCAAGGACCTTTGTTCAGGGACTGACCGTGGGCAGAGAAGTTGCTAACAGGGTATCTAAGGTAATCAAAATTATTTCTTTTTGTTGCCAGCTCTTTCTTTTCTGTTACTGTCCTGCAGACTCAAGCTTCTATGCACTGTCATTTATGGTGTGCAGCTTTCCATCTATGTCAACCTTATAATTAGCAGGGAAGTTTGTTGGGGTGTGAATTACTGTAATATGTTTCCTTTCCTTTGGACTATGTCAAAAATGATAGCGGTATTGCCAAGTTTCTCGCTTAAGAGAGGAATGGAGGGTCAATCTTCATTTGGTATTTAGAAAGAGGTCAGCTGCTAGCACTTCGTCTCTTCCCTATAATTCTTGGTCCTTCATAGAAGATAAAAATACACAGAAAAAGCAAGAATCTATAGGATTTATTATTGCTGGTACTTTGACAAATAATGATATATTGTACTTTTAATATTACATACAGCTAGCATGAGCGGAAGTTGTACTGTCAAAAAGCCAAATTGTGATAGAAAATATGTCATAATAGATATCTCATATTGCTTCTTTTAAATATTATGTTGGAAGCTACATAGTGATGATAAGAGTGGCAAAGAGGCATTTGCTTGTGCTCATGATATTTATTACACTAAAAGGGCTTTTCCTGGTAGCTGAGGGCCTTTATTGTGAACGACATCATTATGGTTGGAGATTCAGATACATTTTTAAAAATTATCTCCTGCAGGGATGGAGGATCTATTCTTTCCAGATATTGCTGAGTATACCTTCCAACATTCTTCATCATGGACTATTGCATATGATTGAGTCTCCTAAGAGTTCATTCCTATGTAATGGCCCACATTTCCTCCATTTTTTATGGGTAGCCATTAAGGTGCTCCAGGTGACAATATTGATAATTACAGCACATCACTTATTAAGGGATGATTTCTATCTCTTATCTTTTGATGCTAGTGATCAGAGATGGAAATATCACAGTTCCATATAAATGTATAGCAATTAAACATATACTAATTCCCGATGATATGAGCATTCCATGGTCATAAACTGGCAGACATAGCTGTATGGACAAGCAGTGTTACTTTGTGGATCTTAAGAAGTATGTTTTTTTCTGTCTTGATACCTGCTTTTTGGAGCAGCCTCCTATCCCATCTCCAAGATAAGGATGGCCCCAACCTTACTTTCAGAAGGCTATGAAGAACTGTCTCTTCACCCAGGTTTCAGGGCCAAGATGTTAGTATGTGGTTTGGTTAGGATGTATGTATTTTGAGATTTCTTTTAATTCTGAGACCTCTATTTTGGTTTGACTGTGCTTTTTTCATAGCCCAGAATTTCATTGGATAGCTGGACAGCCATATAAATCTGATAAATAAAAATAATTCAAATAAAACTTGACGTTACATCCTGTTTGTTTCACTGAAGGTACAGAGTAACAAGATCCTCTCCCCCTAAAAACACACAACATCACCCAGTGACATTTTTGTCTAGAAGTTGCTACAGAGGGGATATTTCAGTGAATTATTAGATAAACATATTGGTTGAACAGAGCCTTGGATCCTGAACTGCAGTGGACCACTGCAAAGAAATTGGGATATTTATAAAGTTGGCTTTGTCCAAATTGCTATGTATTCTCACAAAGTCTGATGAGTTATTTTGGCAATGCATAGGCTAGATAAGATACTGAGAGTAGAATTGTGTATAAAAAAGCCAGGTGGTAGGAAAGAGGTTACAACTGAAAGCCCTAGATTCCAACCAAAGAATGACTTTATCAATTTATACTGTTCAGTTTTTGTCAGGCCTCAAAACTCAAGAAATACACACAGTGATTCTTCTAAGCAGGTTTCTTTATTGTTCCATGCCTTTGGACAGAATCTTGCCAAACTAAAGCACTCTACTATCTATATCAAGCATATACTCCAAGAAATATGAGGGAAGCACTGTCTTCACCCTTTCTCTCACACAAGATATCTGGACTAAGCTGCTTCTTATTCCTCTGGAATATACCTTGTTGCTCCTGGGAATCCAGCCTACTTCATCATATCACAGTTTTAGCAGTTTTTCTTTGGGGGAGGGATCTCTTTTCAAACCTGTCAGCAGCATCAAGAGGGCTCAGGGATTTCAAGGATGACTGCGGAGAGTAACTCCTCAGAAAGTAGTGCTGGTAATAACTCCACAACTGCAGGACCTCACAACCTTCCCATGCATTTTTCTCCCTGGCTTCTTATAAAGAGACAAGTCACCACCGTTCGCCAGAAGGCAGAACCTCTACAGCAGCTATTTCCAGATTCCTGCAAATGGAGGCAAAGAGGGGGACTGTCAGAATCCAATTATATTTCATCTCTAGTTATTAACTATGGAAAACCCCATTCCTGCCTTCTCTGGATTCTGTGATACGATGAAGGGAAGGGGGTGAACAAAGGGACTTTATGGCCCTCACTTCCTTCAGTACACTTCAAAGAGACTGGATGTGGATACCACTAAAAGGACTAACCATAACAATGTGGCTATTACCTTTCATGTTGGCAGTGAGAGAAAGGGGGTGGGAATGTAATGCCTGGGACTGTTGCTGGAAGAAGGGGGTGATGGGGGTGGGGCTACTGGGGAACCCCTTAAAACTTTGAATGGGAGAACTTGAACCCCAAGTCCTGTTTAGAATGCCTGTAACCAGTTTCTCTTAATAAAGATGCCTGTTGGAAGAAAGATTCTAAGACTTACTGTCTTGTTCCAAGTTGCTGAGGGTAAAGAGCAGTCCCGAGCTTGGCTTTTCAATGAGAAATAAAAAGTGAGATGCTCTTTTTCTGCCGTTCAAGCAAGAGCTTAAAAATTGAATCTAACTGTATATTTTCATACTCCCAATGACAGTGTTTCTCCACCTTGGCAACTTTGAGATATGTGGACTTCAAGTCCCAGAATTCCCCAGACAGCCATGCTGACTTCCCCATACTCCCCGATATTGGCTGAGGAATTCTGGGTATTGAAGTTGCCAAGGTTGAGAAACACAGCTCTTTTGACTTTTAAACCTGTTGCTGTATATAATGTGCATAACGCTCATTTGAAACAAAATGAGAATACTGATATATTTTAGTAATAAACTTCAAGAATGGAAACTTGCTCTATTTTCAAACTAATTATCCCAAAATTCAAGAAGGGGAAAGAGGAGGAGGAAGAAGCATCAAAACCCTTCTGCTTCCATTTTTCAAAATTCTTTGTAATAGATTGCATTGTATCTCTGACATATGCCATTTTAATTTTTTTTCACCTTAGCCCAAGCTATAGAATGAAATAAACCCTTTATCTCAGAAGCAGAAACTATTGCTGCAAATTTCATCCAATTCTATCAACTGTTCTTCTGAGCAAAATGTAAACACTTATTTTCAGACTTCCATCTTACTTGCATGTTTGTCAGTTGTCATCATCTACCCAGAAGAAATATTTAATTATTCAGATCTCTTCAAAGCCAACAATGTTACTGTTTTTTTTTTATTTCCTCATCACAGTAAATCACAAGAAACTTCAGATTTCTGTGGGAAAATTCTAACCAATCCATTTCAAAGCTATTGTCTTGTAAGATTGCCAGGATAAGAAATGCTACCTTTTATTGATAATTTTCACAATTACCCTTCAATGGATTATATCAGTGAACCCTCAAAATAATAATGTATTGTGAATCTGGATCAAATAACTTCTTACTCAAACGTTTTGTAGATTTGCATAGCACAAGAAATATTGTGCCTCCTGCTTTCAAAGAGATTTCATTTTCTATTTTTCTTTTCGCCGAGTACTCTAAAATGAGATTATGACAATGGAAATCTGATTAAATAATTTATATTCATATCACAGGATATGAAGTTGAGAGGTAAAAATGTAAAAAAATATACCGAGAATTTAAAAATAAGTCATTGTTATATTCTCCCACCCACTCTCTCTTTCAAGGGCTTGTCATTTTACAGGTGGATTTCAGTCACAGTAAAGGAGGAAAGTGGATTATTTAGAGAGGTCCTAATTAAGGCAATATTCAGCAAAAAAAATAATCTTCCTGCCTTTTTCTTTTACTGTCATTTTTTCATCAGATTTTTCTTCTTGTGCTTTGAGAACTTTACAACAACCCATAATTATGGTGTCTTTAATGCTTATAACTAGTTGTTTTGGGAAATGCCCTATGTTGGTAATGTCCATACGAAAAAAAAAGATTCCTTCATCAGAATAATTTTTATAAGTGGCATATTATACTGGGATTGAAGTAATATCACAATCTGTGCTATTTGTTATAGTTTAAAAATGGCACTGCATGTTTTTAATGAGTATGTATCAGAATGTGATTTAGAGCCTACTTTGTCATCTTTTCACTAAAGAGATGTGGGCTCAGTTATAAATTGTATTGCAAAACAAGACTAGCTTTCAAGCAATGAAGTTGATGAAATGGAATTATCCAATTCATATTTTGCCAGACTTAAAAATGCAGCGCTTCATCAAATCAGATTCTAGGGCAGTGTGGAATAAAGTGAATCATTCAGGAAGATTTGATACTGACAACAAATACTGATCTTGAAGAAAACAAATAAAAATTATACAGAGATTGTTGAGATTCAGATTCAAACTAAATCAATGCCAAAGGAGATATAAGTGGGTATCCAGGATATCTCAGTAATTCTTAACTACATGATGACATAATAGACTTCCAAGAAGAAAGATTGCATACATAAATAAATAACACAGTAAGAAAAATCACTGCTCCAATCAAAAAAGTATGAATATATAGATTTATTTAAAATGAAAAAAATGAGTAAGCTGCAACTGAACAGTTGTCCTTCGCAAAACTATGCCTAAAAAATAGCAAACATCTCACATATCTCCAATATATTCTATCATTTCAATACAACAGAGTTTTCAGATATTGCAGTGGAAAATAATTAAACAAAGATTTAATTAGTTGATTCAACATTTTTTGGTCTTGCCTTCGAGTCACTTCAACTGCCACGACCAGTCCTTGCCGCATTCTTGGCAAGATTTCACAAGTATTTTGCCATTATCTCCTTCCTAGGGCTTGAGAGAGTGACT